ACCCCAATACCTCCCCACACCCCCATCAGCCCCAATGCCCCACGAGGTCCGATCCCAGACCCCCACACCCTCACTATGTGATGAAACCGATCAAAGGAGCCCAAAAAGACTGATATGATGTGGCGGCAGAGGCTGTTTCAAGACTATAATGATCTAACAGAAGGTTGTTGAAGAAGAAGAAGTTGGACAGATGTTGAGCTAAAACTTGATGTTGGAGCAGCTGAAAGTCATCTGAAGTATTGTGAAAGCTAACAGATCATGTAGAGTTTTTCCAGAAAGGTTACAACTCTGACATTTCTCTGAAGADGATCTGATTTTAAAACTGACATTTAAATGGTCAAATGCATGAATCAGATTAGGATCAAATATATTTGAATAGTTTGATGATGGATTAATTATCAAATCATTGGAATGTGATCTGTAACCAACTAATATGTGTTATAAATTGTACATAATTAATTTACCAAATTTAATTTAATTTATTCTGTTGGATTTGTTTAGTAGAACTGGTGATTTTCTGATTTTTACTAAAGGTTTTTGTAAATTAATTCAATCACACAATGTAATGAATTACTCTCTTGCTCTGTTTTAATCCAAGTCATGTCATGTTTTTCCACCTCCAGTCAATTAACCTGCTTAATTTTTCACCCCTCCTGCCACAGAACTCCTCATCAGTCTCATGCCATTCACCTGTACCACTCTGTATTTAAGCTCTCCTCCACCACTGCTCCAGTGCCAGATTTATGAACAGTTTAACCTAGTAGTTGTCCAGCATTCCCGTCTTGTCTTGCCTGCCTCATCATGACCTTGTTTCTGATCTCTGGTTCCACGTCTCCTGCCTTGCCCCTGAATGATACTGTATCGGACTCTGATTTCCTGGTTTTGACCCTCGCTCTTGACTCTGGACCTCTGCCTTCTGCCTCTCTCCCTGTCAGACCGGTTCTGCCTTCGGATCCCTGGACTTCGACCTCTGCCTGTGTACCCCGACCATGAGTTATGTCTGCTTCCCTTAACCTGGTTCATAATTCTGATCTCATGACCCAAGCCTGCCTCACGGAAAACCCTCAAGCTCACGGATTACGCCGTAGTCCGAGACCCAGAAGTGCCAATTATGTTATGGATACCGATATAGACTCTCAAAGTCTTTCAAGAGTTCTGTTCAAACCTCAGACTAAGAAGGTTAGAGACTTTATATGTATCGAAATTTGTTTACCTGTATCAACTGGCCACTAACCTGATCATCTGTTGTATAGATCTCCGGATTCCAGTGACGTGCCATTCCTGGTCCAGCTACTCATATTTAAATAAAATCCTTAAATCTTCTTTGGTGTTCGGTGGATCAGTGAAACTCGCAAACTCAGTCATTACACACAAGATCTTTGAAGGAATACATATGGTTTGTGGGTTTGTAAGTAAAACTTTTAAAGACAGGTTTTGTGTGATGTGTCAGAGCTCAGAGTGTTTGTTCAGGACAACTTTCAGCTACAACCACAACAAAATCTCATTGTAGACTGGAGTTTGCTAACATAAATTAACTGTGGTGGTCATCTTATAAGGTCAACTCCATCAGATAGATGCAGATGCAGCTTCATCCATGTGAATGATTGGTTCAATGGTTCATAAGATATTTTGCTGACACACCTATAAAAGCAAAATGAATATTGATGCAGTTCAAGGAAGTAGGCAATATAACATATATAAACTACCATGTAGTTACATTATGGCCATGTTCATTTGTTTGAACTAGTTTTTCTCAGAATGACTGAAGACCAGAAGATGGAGGGTTGGGTGGAAGAAACATCTCCAGGACCCAGCTGTCTGTCCATGAAGAGTGATCGGTCTGGAACTTTACCTCCAGACTTCAGGCCTGAACCTGGACCCTCAGAGACAAAGTAAGAAAACTTTCTGATTTAATCTGAGTTTTATTTTCTTTGATGATCTGATCAACACTTCCTGTTCTTCCAGTTCTTCATCAGTAAATRTCTTCAGAGGGAGGAAGAGGAGTGGTGTTTGTGAGGAGGAGCAGCTTTCCTACTGTTCTTTGTGTCAAGACGTCCTGAAGGATCCAGTCTCTACCAGCTGTGGACACTGGTTCTGCAGACHCTGCATCACCTCATACTGGGAACAGTCTGTTTCATCAGGACCCTCCTCCTGTCCCCAGTGTGGAGAAAGACCCAGAATCAGAAGTGGACTGCAGACAGGCAGTCAGAGCAGYTGTGTCCAAGGTAAGACATTTCTGTCCACCTGTTGTTTTAATACAGACACATTGTTGAAGAGTTCAGATCATTAGAAACATCCTTCAGATTGAAGCTHCAATCAAAATGTTGGAGTTTCTGCTGCAGCATTCACATCTGCTCTGTGTCCCATTTTTCCTCAGATGTTGGTCTGCAGGAGGTTTTAGATGAACATCAGATCAGTCTGAGGAGGAGATGTGAACGTGTGACTGAAGGAAGTGATGAAACAGGAAGTAGAACCCTCCTCAACAGGATCTACACTGAGCTCTACATCACGGAGGGACAGAGTGAAGAGGTTAATACCCAACATGAGGTCAGGCAGCTGGAGACCACTTCCAAGACCCAGATCCTCCATGAGACTCCAATCAGGTGTCAGGACATCTTTAAAGCCTTACCTGACCCACTTGGAGCCATCAGAGTGGTTCTGACCAACGGCGTGGCTGGAGTTGGAAAAACCTTCTCGGTGCTGAAGTTCACTCTGGACTGGGCYGAGGGCTTGGAGAACCAAGATGTCAGTGTGGTGGTTCTGCTTTCGTTCAGGGAGCTGAACCTGATCAGAGATGAGCARTACAGTCTTCTCAGGCTGCTCCATGTTTTCCATCCAACACTCCAGAAGCTCCCAGCAGAGAAGCTGGCTGTCTGTAAACTTCTCTTCATCTTTGATGGCCTGGATGAAAGCAGACTTCAGCTGGATTTCATCAAAAGTCCACAGGTTTCTGACGTCACACAGGAGGCATCGCTCAACGTGCTGCTGACAAACCTCATCAAGGGGAACCTGCTTCCCACGGCTCTGGTCTGGATCACTTCCAGACCTGCAGCGGCCAATCAGATCCCTCCTTCATRTGTGGACAGGCTAACAGAAGTACGAGGCTTCACTGACGCTCAGAAGGAGGAGTACTTCAGGAGGAGGTTCAGTCATGAAGATCTGTSCAGCAGAATCATCTCCCACATCAAGACCTCCAGGAGCCTCCACATCATGTGTGCAGTCCCAGTCTTCTGCTGGATCACTGCTACAGTTCTGGACCACATGTTGACCACAGAGCAGAGAGGAGAGCTGCCCAAGACCATGACTGACATGTACTCACACTTCCTGCTGGTCCAGACCACCAGGAAGAAGAACAAGTACCACGAAGGACCTGAGACCAGTCCACAGGAGCTGACAGAGGCTGACAGGGAAGTTCTTCTGAAGCTGGGGAGGCTGGCCTTTCTGGAGGAACATCTGGAGGAAGGAAACATCATGTTCTACCAAGAAGACCTGGAGCAGTGTGGTCTTGATGTCACAGAGGCCTCGGTGTACTCAGGAGTTTGTACAGAGATCTTCAAAAGAGAGTGTGTGATCTTNGGAGCAGTGTGGTCTTGATGTCACAGAGGCCTCGGTGTACTCAGGAGTTTGTACAGAGATCTTCAAAAGAGAGTGTGTGATCTTCCAGAAACCAGTCTACTGCTTTGTTCATCTGAGTGTTCAGGAGTTTCTGGCTGCAGTCTACATGTTCCACTGTTTCACCAACAGGAACATGGAGGAGATTAAAAAGTTTCTGGGAGAGGAGTACAGTTACTCATCTCTGGATTATTTTCTGTACAGAATCATGGAGAAATCTCTCCAAAGTGAAAATGGCCACCTGGACCTGTTTGTTCGCTTCCTTCATGGCCTCTCTGTGGAGTCCAACCAGAGACTCTTAGCAGGTCTGCTGGGTCAGACAGAGATCAGTCCAGAAACCATCCAGAGAGTCATCAACAGCCTGAAGGAGATGAACAGAGTTAAAGTGTCTCCAGACAGAAGCATCAACATCTTCCAGTGTCTGATGGAGATGAAGGACCTCTCAGTTTATCAGGAGATCCAAGAGTTCATGAAGTCAGAGAACAGATCAGAGAAGAAACTTTCATTGATCCAGTGTTCAGCTCTGGCCTACATGCTGCAGATGTCAGAGGAGGTTCTGGATGAGTTGGACCTGGAGAAGTACAACACTTCAAATGAGGGTCGAAGGAGACTGATTCCAGCTGTGAGGAACTGCAGAAACTTTGTGTGAGTCCAGATGTTTCATTCCATCATCAGTCAGTGGAGATCAGCTGTTTGAATTATTAGTATTTATTAGAACCATGAGGGGGTTCTGTTTGGATCAAGTTAGAGACACTTTTTAATCTTAATCATATGATACATTTTCATAGAAATGACTGAAGAAGTTTCCAGGTCAAAGGTCAACTTAGAAATGTTGTCTTCCTCAAGATGTTCATGTGGACAGATGTGGATCTGGTCTACAAACATCTGCTCAGTTTCATCAGAAACATCAAACTGTTTAAATTATGTGAATGAAAAGATTCAGATGAATCTAAAAGTTGGAGTGAAACAGTCAACACTCTGCTGTGGTCTTTCTGGATAAAACTTTAGTTCAACTTGATTTATTTAGTTCCTTTTGAAGAAGACAACATAAATCTATCCCTGGTCTCTGAAGTCTGTCCACACAGAGCTCAGAGTCTGACAGAACCACATGAAGTCCTCCTGGGTCTCAGCTCCCTGAACAAAACTTCTTAAGTCCTCTACATACTCCTTCCGAAGCCAAATAGTCTACTTAGAGTCAGGTGGTTGTTCAGCATTCATTTTGGGGCGGCTGTGGGAGAGTGGTTAGGGGAGTCGTCCTGGAACCAGAAGGTCGCCGGTTCGATCCCCGTCCAGTCGACTCAGTTGTTGTATCCTTGGGCAAGACACTTACCCGACTTGCCTACTGATGGTGGTCAGAGGGTCCCGGTGGCGCCTGTGTATGGCAGCCTCACCTCTGTCAGTGCGCCCCAGGGCAGCTGTGGCTACACTTATAGTTTGCCATCATCAGTGTGTGAATGTGTGTGTACATGGGTGAATGTCTGTAGTGTGAAACGCTTTAAGTGTCCTGGATGGATAGAAAGGCACTTTATAAGTACAGTCCATTTACCATTTTCATACACACCTTTTCCAAGCTCCTAGGAAACCCCTCCCACTGCAACATACATCACAGCAAAGGATTTTTTTTTACCTTTGGAATCTACAATGCAGAAAAAAAAAATCTGTGACCCGTCACCCAATGTTGTCTACAAATCTGTCCCAGTTAAAGTTCTGCAGTTTTTTTTATAAGCCAGATCTCTGTGCTATTTTGCTAGCTATATCTAATCTCACATTCATCTCAAAAATTCTTGAGAAAATAGTTGCAAATCAACTACGTGAATATCTGGATAGAAATAATCTTTGTGAGGAGTTTCAGTCAGGAAGAAAAGAAGTAAGTCCTCTGGATGGGTTCTTCTTTAGTGAAATGTTTTGTCTCTGTTGAAGAAGTCTCTTGGACGAGAGACGAAACGTTTCCAGACGAAGGTGCACCTGGACCAGTTCTTCTGTGTTTACCTGTGTCTCTTTCCTGTCCCCCAACCCAACCGGATGAGGCAGATGGCTGCCTCTCCTGAGCCTGGTTCTGCTGCAGGTTTCTTCCTGATTAGCAGGGAGTTTTTCCTCTCCACCATTTGCTCAGGATCGGAGACTGTGATGAAGTGATTCAATGCAGCCTGCTGGCTTCTTCTTTAGATTGTTCTTTTTATGCACAGTGCCCTGAGACAATGTATGTTGTGACTTGGCGCTATATAAATAAACTGAATTGAACTGAATTGCACACATCTGTTTTATCTTCATTCATGAGTTTTTCACCATTTAACTATCTTGATAAATTGCTGCTTCCTGGTACAAGAGTTGGCTTCTGGAAGTGAGTGGTTATTTATTTATTTATTTATTTATTTATTTATTTATTTATTTATTTATTTTTGAAGCATTTGAAGAAAATTACAGTGTCTGAGCACTTTCAGCACAAACACTCCCACGAACTTCTGACCAATCACACAATTAGTCCTTATGTGTACGAGGTAAAAAGTTCTGCTGGCGGATTTTGACAAAGGGGGCGGCCGTGTCAATGCTGAGAACACAATGATGTAATTTTTGTCATAAAACTGTGACAATCTGTGCTGACATAGGCAGTGTGGAGGAAGTGTGAAGTAGGCTTTAATTGCAGTCCTGGTGGATTTCTGACCATTACTTGCCCCTACTGTTTAATCTGAATCTATTCTGACAGTAGTTCCACTCATTTCTGTTTTCATTTTCTCTTCCAAACATGTTCAGACTGTCTGCAGTCAGGTTGGATGAAGTCCTTGTGAGGATCCAGAGTCTGACCTGCAGCAGACAGCAGTCGGAACTCAGGGAGAGAAACAGGAAGTTATGCTAACAGGCTAACTGAACTAGCAGCTGCTACAACATGAAGAACAGATTTCTGTTAGCTTCAACATCTCAAAGCTCCTGAACAAATGATGACATCACTGTTTATCAGAGAGATCAGCTGATTTTATTATAACTGACTATTTTTCTGTCATCACAGAGCCGTTTTTGTTGAACTCTCAGAGACTCACTGGGAAGTTGTGGCCTCAGCTTTGAAGTCCAACCCCACCCACCTGACACAACTGGACCTGAGTGAGAACCACCTGTCTGACGCTGGAGTGAAGCTTCTGTGTTCTGGACTGGAGAGTCCAAACTGTAGACTGGAGGTTCTGAGGTCAGTTYACTGCAGCTGTTGGAGGTTTTCTATGTTTGTCCAACTAAAATCATTCATTGATCCTTCACAACTGATTAATTTAGAAATGTTTCCTTCATTTCGAAAGTTCAACTTGAACACGTCTGTTTTGAATTTTCTCTTTCCAAACATCTAAAAACCTTTTTAGAACCAAAACATGTTTGCTGCTTGTTTTGAAGGCTGCAGCAGCTCAAAATACACAATTTATTGAGGTTTTTATTTAAATCTTGATGATTCAAATAAAATTATACATCACAAGTTTAACGTTTGAAGGTAAATGTAACTCAAACACATCAGGTGTTTTTGCATAAATTGTGGTAGAAATGTACAAATGTTTATGTATGTTTTTAACTTGGAACCTGATGCTTATTTTAACCTGCATCCTGTTGACTTCAGCTCATTTTTTATTCGTTATTCAGATTGAAGAACTGCAGATTGTCAGAGATCAGCTGCTCTTCTCTGGTCTCAGCTCTGAAGTCCAACCCCTYCCATCTGACTGAACTGGACCTGAGGAACAATAACCTTCAGGCTCCAGATGTTCAGCAGCTGATGGATCTTGTGGAGAGTCCAGACTACAAACTTCAGACTCTGAGGTCAGTAGATGGTCTGAGTGAGTCCAGACTAGAGCTGGACTGGATGAGCTCAAAATGAAATCAGAATATTTCTGAAAGTTTGCATTAATAATCTTTATTTAGTGACTTCGTGACTTTTCTTAGTTGCAGCTGAAGTTGTGCAGCTTCACCATGTATTTGACTGTTTGACTGCAGTTGTTCTGGA